GATTTGTTTTTTATTTGAGCTTGAGCAATCTCTTGAGTTTCTTGCAGAGTGAAAGAATTTTTTTGATTAATTTGTTTAGATTTGCTTTTTGTTTGAGCTTGAGCAATCTCTTGAGTTTCTTGCGGAGTAAAAATAGAGCTTTCAAGATTTACTTGTTTGGATTTTCCCTTCGAATTGATTGGTTTTTTATTTACTTTTGATGTTTTAAATTACAATAATAAATATTAAAAAAATGAATATTGTCAAAAGACATCATATATAATGCAATGACTTTTACCATTGTTAGATTTCTTAATATTATTATATGTATCAGAATGTTGTTGCTTATCATAGTCTTTTGCTCTAAAGTGAAATTCAATAATTATTATTATTAAAAATAAAATAAAATAAAATTAAATAAAGTATTTATAAAAATTTACGTTATAATTGCATCAAGTAAAGTCATATTTCCATCGTGATACGCATTTTCATTGCATAATTTCGCCGTAATATCCGGTGCTGAATTCCATATTTCTTTATTTATTTGTGAGTTAGAAGGGTTTAATAAGGCTGTTACCCAATTAGTAGCATAAAAATCAACCCAGTCTATTCGAAAAATGCAATAAAAGATTTAATTTGATTTGACTCTATAAAAATATATTGATAAAAGTAACATACCTTCAATATCAATTTCATTCGAACATTTTAATGATTTAAATATCGGCTTTATTTTTTCAGAAGGCGCATCCAATAACTCTTCCATAAGATTTTGATTAGCTTTTGAATATTTGCTGTTTTGAATTTCTCTACAAAGTATTTAAAAATTGAAAACTTTTTTATATGTATATTGTATATAGATATATATGCAATAACGATAAACAAAATTAAACATACTTTTTGAAATGGGAACTACAAATTTTATAAATTTTTTTAAGATCTTCATTTAAACAAGAACTATGGTTTAATTTGCTTAAAGCACGACCAAATCCTTCAAGTTGGACTTTATCAAGATTGCCAAGAATGCATTTCCAACCCTCTTTATGTAAATAATAAAATTTTGGCCCCTCATTTGTTAAATTATTTATTAAATTAAAAAGGTTAAGAAACATTTCTTCATATGATTTAACATCTATAATGTTTGTAAAAACTCTAGCGTATGTAAGAGCTAAAATAATTAGATAATTAAACAAATTATATGAGTTAATAAAGTATATAAAGTATATAAAGTATGAAATAAAGTGCAAGACTTAATTTTAAAAAAAAAACTTACTAATTTCATGATTATTATCATAGCCATTTATTGCGAATTCAGTAATGTTTTCTTGAATATGATTCGAAAAAGAAACGATTTCAAAATAGTCAAGTTTAAGCCATGCTCTAGCTTGAACTTCTGACATACATATAATTATAATACGGCCATTCTCAGTAACAGCTATAAAATTAATTTGGTTGAATCAGTTATATAACTCCCGTTATTGGATGCTTCGAATCCAATAACTATATAATACCATGTATATAAAAAGCATAAATATAACTAACCAAATTGTTGTATATAATCAGATAAATTTCCGGACCAAATATTAAAATGTAAACCTATCAAGTCCTGTCCAAATGAAGATTTTTGAACTTTTGCTAATAATTTTCTAAGCTCATTCTCACTAGTTAAAGACTTTTGGATTTCTTGAAAGTCTTTATCACCAATAACAGTTCTTATAAAATTATCTATTTATAAATTTTAAATAATGTTACTAATTAAATTATTCAAACAAAAAAAAAAAAAACAACTTTACCGCTTAGTAATTTATCAGCAGTAATATTGATATAGGGACCAAAAGATAAATTAATTGATGTTAACTCAAGCATCATATTTGACATATGCGGATCCATTGACTTAGGTTGGGGAGGTGGATGAGAATGTTTGCCTTTGCATACCAATATTACATATGGTATTTTTCGATCTAATGGTATAATTCCATAGAACTTTACATTGCAATCTGATTTTTTAAGAATTCCTTCTCGTGAAGATTTATGAACAAATCCTAAAATAAAAATAGTCAGTATTTAAATATAAAAAAATTAAATAATCAAAAGAATTAACTTTTATTTACCACAAGTATTTTGTTTTGAATTATAAGGAAATATACTATCGCATGATCTCTCCTTAATAAAATATGTAGAATTTTGATTTAAAAATAAATGTAAATACTGTATTTAATTTTAATTTTTGGACTTACCGATTTATCTTTATGTCGCCTTAAATATTTTTTTATATTTTATTTTAATAATATATCAATATAAAATTATTTGATTAAAATGTAGAATTATTCTTGTACTTACGTATGAGTTTTATTCATATTTATAAAATCTGTGTCGAAATCGACATGACAATGATCTTTATTTCTATTTTTAAAATATTCACATACTTTAACACCTTGACAATTTAAAGATATTTTTTTAGCCTTGGTATTGAGTAAATAGCAATTAACTTCGCTATTATCACAACTTTTTCTTGTATCATATTGTATCTAATAAGAAGATATAAAAGATTAATAGTAATATATCTGAAACAAAAAGATATTGAAAAAAAGGACATACAAAGTCGGTAAAGTTTTCAGCATCCACATTTGATCTAACATATTCAATATTAATTATAATTGCTACGCCATTTTCCGATGTAATAGGATATTCCATGGGAAAAATATTATAAAAAAGTTTATCTACATATATGTGTTTAGTAATTTGATACATTCCTTGTTTTTTATCAAGTTTAATTTTATCTGGTTCAAGGTCAACTTCGACACCTTTTTCACTTCCAAATAATTGCTAAAAAATAATCATTTTATTTATTTTAAATTTTAAAATAAATAAATTATCATTAACAAGAGTGTAGAAAACTAAAGCTTAGAAATTCAATTTACCATATTATTATTTTTTAACACTGAACTTGATGAACTTTCGCCATAATTATCGTTAGAATAACCTAAGTAACCATCATCATTTTGAAGTATAAAAGATAAATTATTTTTATTTATTTGTTTGGCTTTATTTTTATCTTTTTTCTTTTCGGTCTGTACAGCTTTCTCATATGTAGTTTTGTCGGTTTCTTGAAAATCATCATCAGATCCTCTCATCGTAGGTGTATCGCTATCGGTTTCCATTTTTAAAAAAATAAGGGTTGTCTCTAAATGAGATGAGATAGTTTATTCGATATAAATCACCTTATTAACTTAATAAATTTTATGCATAACAGTTAACATAAAGATAATGATTGAGTTTAACTAGTTATTTATTAGAGAAAAATATGCTTGAAAAGAATGACTTCTTAAACGTTTTCAAAAGAGTTAATTTTGTATTTATAGTACCAAATTCGCAGCAATATGTCAAATGTATAAGTTGCATGTGAAGTATAATGTTTTAAGTAAATTTTCAGTGTATTTAAATATGTATACAAAGTCCTATTTCCATATTAATTTAGCTTAAATAATGATAACATTCGAGCTAGCTTATTTGTTTTTTTTTATAATCGGAAAAATAATGCATAAACTGAACTCATGACATAAAGTTAACAGTTATTAAAAGTAATAACACATGTTGATCTCGGAGATTGTTGAGATTTCGATTTTTACAATAATCCACCTTTATTTAAACATTATTGTTATCTTTGCAGGAGGCTGAAATCAAACTACTAATTAAAGAAATTGAGTAGTGCGCTCTAAATGTACAAATAGTGTTAGTACGAATTCCAATCGCGGAGGAATTTTCTTGCTAACATCTTGTTTTCTATCTACGTATCATTACAAAATATGGATTAATGGTTCAGTTTGGTTTTTTTCCTGCTCTTATGTTAATAAAAGACTTGTTTAAGGTAGCTTAGATCAAACTAATTAATAATGTTTTGATATTTTAATCATCGCAACGAATTTATGAATCTGATCATCAAAATTAAGTTTTACGTAGTTGACAATTTAAATAATCAGTGCTAAACTTTGTAAAAATTTTTGGTCTTCTGATCTATGTCAATGAAAGCGTTTTCCATATTATCTACGCATCTCATTAAATATGGAAGTCTATATATGCGTCCTAGCCTGGGAATATTTATCCAAGTTCTTCAAATTTCCTACCGATTACGCATTAGGTAATCAGACTACCATTGTTTCCGCTTTTGTTCTGTACTACATTGATATCTATCTGATTTACTAAATTTGGCACGCTAATATTATCGGAGTTTATCGATATTTTATAGTTATTGTATGGTATATGGCGAATATCCCAGTTACACACGGGTTCATATTCCGTGCCGAAGGCACGGGATTTAAATATGAACCTGTGTGTGTAACTGGGTTGGTTGTTCAATATATACAATAACTGCCGCGGCTGATTGGAGTGTTAGATATCAAATGATTAACTATCATAGTTCAGCACTATATGATTGGCCTACTATTAAAGATTTTTAAAATTTTGTCAATTTATCGAGAAAATTTATCATAGTAATTTTATAATAAAAAACTGTGCATTTTTAAAATGTTCTAACTCCCGTTCTAGTAAAGCAATTTCAATTCTGTAACTTGCAAATGATATGTAAATAGTAAGCTTTTAAAACTATGTTGAGACATTTTTCATTTCATTTTATTAAAATTGCTAAAATCATAAATTAATAAATTTTAATAGTTTTTTAAACGATTAAGTTATAGAGAGCTACTAAAACTTACATAATAATATCAAATATGGCAACATAGTTTTAAAAGCACATTATTAATACACCATTCGCTTTTTACAGAATTAAATTTGCTCTACTTGAGCATGAGTTAGAACGGTTTAAAGGTATTATTTTACATAATAGTTATCACGTGAGTTCAATCTCACGATTTGATTTGAGCATGCATATGCCACTGTATTTATTGGATCGAAGTCTTATTTGAAAGTTATTTAATCAAATGTGTTGTATGTACGTACACATTGAATTAATTTAAAATAAGCGTACTAATTCCTATTAATTTTATTGATGTTAAATTTCTATACGATAATATAATGGATTGTTCATACGTTATAAAGAATTTTTTTTTTTTTAATGTTAAAGGTTCATAAAGAATTTTATATTGTCAGCATAAAATATATTATTATTCAATTTTAATGATTTCATAATAGCGAAATTACTTGTATTTTAAAAATTATTTTTTTATTTTTTTTTATTTCAATTGTATTAAAAATGACTCGCCTTACAAAGAAAAGAAAACATTTACTAAAAATTACCAAAGATCGTGAACCTAAAAAACAGTGTTGTAATATTTATATGATTATCGATTCTTTGAGTTATGAAGAATTAATAAATATTCAAAACCACATTAATTTGCTAAACCCTCAATTACAAAATATTAATATCTACGAAATTATTAATTCTTTAGACCAGAAAGAATTAAAAAATATTCAAAATCATATTAATTCGTTAAACCCACAATCACAATCACAAAACATCAGCATTTTCTGAAGTAGTTGGAGGAGATGGGACAAATATAGTTGTTGGTGGAGGTAAAACAGTCAAAGTCAAGGTGAATAGTGCTAGAATAGATGAAGATGATTTGGATATAGGTGGTATAGTTTAAGATAGTTCAAAATAGTGCAAATAGAATACGTATAAATCAGAATAATCAGAATAAGTTGATGGATTATGGACAGAATCTGAGAAAGGTGCTATAGTTGCATGCTTTCCCTTTTTGGTAAAACATCAGGTAGTTTGAGTTGTAGTGAGAACCCTCTTATATTTACAATACCACTTACTAGATGATGCTATGACTTCAACTTGTTTATTTTCAGTTAATAATTCTTCATTGTTAGTAGCAGAGAAAGAAAGATATAGCCTGCTACTAACTTATCTTTAATTAATTAAATTAAAAATATTAAAACAATAAAAATATATTTAAATAAAATAAGTATAATTAAATATATATTACTTACAA